ATCAACACAACCCCTAGAACCACCGTCGTCGTCATTAGCGCTGCGCCGCCGATGACGCACGGTACGATGATCTGTACTGGCGCGGCGGCGGCCCGGCCGCCGCCGCCGTCAGGCGGCGGCGGCGGCGCATCCGTACCCACCGCGGCGCCGCCGCCGCCGCCGTCGCCGTCCACTGGTACCCAACTGATATCCGTGTTCGTGAACACCCACTTCCCCAGTGGCGCGGTTTGATTCACGCTCCAAAACCCAAGTGTCAGGCCCCCGTCACCCCGCAATGTGGCGTTACGAGCCCGGACCTCCGCCGTCATGTGGTTCAGATGCAGTACGGCAAGCAGATCCTCAGCTCGGAAGCCGGCTGGGTCGTACACGCCGTCAATGACGACGCCCTGCGTTGTAAATGGGCCGCCGCCCGACGGCAAGCGGCGTGGTGCGGTTAACAGCGTTTGCCGTACATACATACACAAACACACTCCCAAACACAATGACCCACATCAAGCCCATCTTTCACGTACCTCGCACTCCACAGCGCCCACGCCGCTAGCGGCTGCCGGGGCAAACGCGCCCAGGAGTGACACGTCACTCACGCCCGAGGCCACCGACATCAGCTGCGACCGGTTCACGGTCACCCAGCCCACGTTAATGAAACGAAGGTCGCCCTGAAAGATGAGGCGGCCCCGGGCTTGTACGATAGCGTTGAGATCGGAGAGATCAATTGTGAAGCGCTTGCCGTACTGGGGGTGGCAACCGCGAACCTCCACAATACTGCGGGACGGGGTGGCGGGGTGGCGGGGGTGCCGTCGTGTGTGTATGTGTATGTATGTATGTATGCATGTATGTATGTATGTATGTATGTGTGCCACCTGGCGCAGCTACCTGACATTGGCCGACTAAACGGAGCAGGCTGAATGCCTCCATGCGCGTACTGTACGGGGTCATGGGTGTGTACCGTACTGTACGACAACTACTACGCAACCCAACCCTACTAGCCGTCCGATTATTATCTAATGCGTGTGTCTGTCTATCTATCTATCTATCTATCTATCTATCTATCTATCTATCTATCTATCTATCTATCTATCTATCTATCTATCTATCTATCTATCTATCTGTCCGTGTTTAAGCAGAGCGGTAGATATAGCCGGATAGTGTGAACTGGTTGGGTCCCTCCTCACCCCGCGTTGATGACCACGGCCGCATCGCCCCCCGGCCAGTTGGCAGCAGTCAGCTTCATGTCCGATATCACCTGAGGCAACAAACACAGCACCAGTACCCTAACAATACTAAAAAAAACCCTAATAATACTAATATAATATAATATAATATAATATAATATAATATAATAATAACAATAATAATAAATAATAATAACAAGAAGGACAATAGCGCAGCAGGAAGGCCAAAGCACAATGCCAAATCTGGATCAAAAACACGGATGCCGTACACACAACTGAATCTCTAACGACTTCGTATTACCCTCTCTATTCTGTTTCCCGGTTGTGCGGACAGTGTCCGGCAAATGTACCTGCAAATAAATCAATCTGCAGGTACGGCATAACTTACATAAGACCGCCATAAAATATACCTGTATGTATCGCCCGCCTTTGATCAAAGCTTGTCGTAGCTCCAATTCGCTTGCCACCATCGTCACGCCAGAACGCAACACTGTCCCCTGCTCCAAAGCGCCGCCAAAACACAACGCCCGCGCATTCGCATTGTCTGCCTGCCGTACAGTAACGTTACCAAACCCCCACGCCGCCGCCGACGGCGCGTTCAATGCGTCGTACGTGTTCAACGCGCTGGCGGCGTACGACTGCCACGCATTACGTGTCAGAACCCAGTGCCGTATCCTGACGCTAGGCCGGCTGACGTCATCTTCGCCGCCGCCGCCGCCGCCGCCAGCGGCGGCGTCAGGCCGCCAGGCGTCGTAAATCACGCCGCGGCCGTTCACGGGCTGCGCCGCCACGGCGGCGGCGGCCTGAAGCTCCGCCGCCGTCGGCCACGTGTCCAGCTCCGGCCGCAAATTCGGCCGTGTAGGATCCGCCGTACAGCACCCAGGTAACGCTTTCAACCTCCCCACCAGCCCCGCCAAGTCCGGCACATCAATCACCACGTCATTCAGCGACACCACCCCCGATCCCGCAACATCAAACAAGCTCAGAAGCACCGGCAAATCTGGCGGCCATGACGTAAAATTCGTAGCCAGGGAAGCCTTGAACCGCAAGCCGGTAAAATCCACGGCGTCGCGTACGACAACTGCCGCGTAAAGGTTCTCTAAGTTGATCGAAGGTTGGGAGCGGGGGCAGGCGCGGTAGGACTTCGAGCCATTGACGGCAAAGGGACTGGAGCGCCTATAGGCCAGGCGGTCGAGGCCAATGTCGTGAAAAACACGGATGTGTCGTACAGTTGGGTTTCGGAGCGAGTCGGCAAAGGTGTAGAGGCAGTAGATGAGGGCGGTGTCTTCCGCGTCGTCGGCATAGCACGAGTCCAAGTCCATGGGGGCGAAACACGTGTCCATGGAGTACCTGAATACACACACACGTACACACGCACGCACGTACATACAGACATACGCGGCGGTGGTTTGGGGTGGGAGTGGGGATGGGGTGGGGCGCGGCGGTTTGGGGAGAGGTTTGGGGAAAGACGAACCACTGACGTTGCGAGGGGGTTGGAGGAGGAGACACGAAACACAGACAGACGGGGGCGCACTGACACCAGAAACAAAGGCGGATGGTGATGGGCGGGTAGGCGTGTGTGTGTGTGTGTGGAGGGGGGAAGACGAACCACGAGCGAATGAAGGTGATGCCAAGGAAGGATGTGTGTGTGTGGGGCGGGGGGAGAGGGGGGCCCCCTTCCGGAGGGGTAGCTGGGGGAGTTGTCGTGTGACGTCCAGGAAGCAGCAAAGTTCAAGGGTGGATCTGCACGACTCGTCGTCGTCTTCTGTACGTCACAATCGGTATGGGAGGCGGCTGGGGTGGGAGGGTTGGGAGGCTGGGCTTGAAGCGCCAAATACACAGTTGCTGATCTATAGGGTTTTAGGGTGTTTGGTGTCGGAAAACGGGAAGTATGTAGGACCCCCCCTCCCCCCCAGATCAGCACCCCCTCAGACACTCACTTGGCAGTTAGGTTCTGCAAGCTCGAGTATTTGACCAGGTACAGCGCCGGCTGCAGCAGCTGTACGGGCTGCCCCGTGTAGATGTTGGACAGGGCTGTCGTACGACCCTCCCGTGCCCAAAAGCTGTCCGAGACCGACGCGTCAAACACCCACGTTACCGCCGGAAGGAAGTGGAACACGACGAATCTGTATGTATGTGTGTGTGTTGGGGGAGAGAGGGGAAGGGGGAGGGCAGGTCAGGTGGTTACGGAAACTGACACCCGCGCTCTTTCCGAGGTCGTCCAAACGACGTGTGTGAGACGGAGAACTCCGTCGTACACACACATACATACATACATACATACATACATACATAATAGATGAATAAACAGACTGCCAAACAGACAAACAGAAAGATACGCTCCCCTCCCCTCCCTCCCCTTCCAGGTGCCCGCCCTCTTTGAATTTTTGCCAGCTCTACTTCTTGCGCCATAAGCACATACCCACAAAGACAAAAGCATATGCACGATAAAACCTATGCACCTTCACAATGTATTCACACATATACATTTGAGCACCGGACTAAATAGTCGACAACAGTCGCGAGTTCAAATCCCAGAGACAGAGACTAAGATATGGGTTCCCAATCGCCCGCTCTTCCCCCAGGTGACACAATTCGGAATAACGTAAATCAAGTGATGAGACACCACATGGGGGGTCGGTCCACCAGTGCGCAGAGAGCGGCTGGATAGGGGGGGATACGGATAGGCCCAGTGCGGAGACCTGAACACTATCGCAGAGCAGTGGCGGGGAGGCCTCTCAGGGGGATCTGCACAGGGGGCCTGAGCCCACCGGAGTGCAGCGCACCAGACGGCGGGGCTGTTTGTACACGGGGCGTGTACACCGGGCGACGACGGCAAGAATAGGGTTTGGCGATTGGCTGAGTGAGTGCATTATTCACACATACATACATTCACACATACTAAACATACATACAGACGCACGCACGTACGCACGCACGTACCTGAAGGATATGGGTCCTCCACTGCTCAGCAAGGCCGGCACTGGACCCAACCCCGACAGGTTCTGGGGCACGCTGGGCAGGAAGTTGCGCAGGAAGACCCGGTGCACCAGGAGACTCCTGCACACGGGCGCGCACACACATGTGCGTGTTTGTGTGTGTGTTTGTGTGTGTTTGTGTGTATGTGTGTGTGCGTGTGTGTGTGTGTGTTTGTGTGTGTGTGTGTGTGGATATCTATATGGATATCTATATGGATGCGTACATGGGGGGGAGAGGGAGAGAGGGGAGGGCTGGTGGGATGCAGGTGGGGTGCAGGGATGCGCAACAAGGCAAGAGATCTCGTGCTATCGCTACCGTCTGGAACACAAGGGTGAGGAGGGGGGGGGAGGAAGGGGGGGAGGGGGGAGGGGGGAAAGACGAACCACACACGATTGAAGCTGCTGCTGGGGAAAGAGGGGGGAGGGGGGAGGGGGGAGACCGAGCCATAGGAGGAGCATCACTGCAACAACATTTAGAGATGAACAAAGAGAAGATAGTGAGAGGAGAAAGCGCAGTTTAATAAAAACACATTTGGGTTAGAATAAGAATTACATATAGAAGTGAAGCGCTGTCATCCATCAAGGACTGCGAGCTGCCGGGGAAAAAATGCGTGTGCCAGTGAGATGTCACAAAGTAGGCGAGGGCGCGGCAACTGGGGTGGGGGCTGTGATTCAGGTTTCAGCCGGTCGGATGTGGGAGGTAGGGGGTAGATAGTGGGGGAGGGGTTGGAGATGTGGGAGTGGTCGGGGAGACGAGCCACGAGCGAGTGAAGGTGATGCCAAAGCGAGACTTACTGACTAGGGGTAGGGGAGATATGAAAGAACAGAAACAATAATACAACGCGTGGCTTTGGAGAGGAGTATCCAAGCTGACCCGCGTCGTGGTTCATGGAGAGGTTTTGGGAGTTGAAAACGGTTGACAAGAGCAGGTGCACCGCGCAAGATTGGGAAGGAGGTTGGAGTGCAAATTCGAATTTTTGGGTTTCAACTGATTTAATCACGTGAGGGCTGCTTTGTTTACCAAATAACTGCCCGAAGCAAGGCTAAGTGGCATTGGAGTTAAAAAGAGGTGAGGTAGGCTTCAGGTGCGATACCGAACCCTATTTTGGCCAGTACGCAACATCCGGGATGTGGAGGTGTTATGTTATGAATACGGGAGCAGCCCGGGACCCAGAAGGCAGCTAGAATTGGGATGAGTTGCGTCACAGGGAGTAACCCAACCACACCCAAGACCATAGAAAGTTTGGGAATCTCGGCCTTCAGCCGAAGTAGTGAAATATGATCCACACAACCAAACGGCAAACAACCACTTCGACCTACCCAAGTGCAGTCACGTTAATGAGCGGCCGTGCAGGGGCGCCGCTGCTTCCACAGAAGTCCAGCTTGAAACGATATAATGAATAGATTGTTACTTGTTTTGCAATGGCAACGGGAGGGTCGGGCCAGTTCTCAGAGTTGAAATTCAGGTTCGCTGCGACCATGATTTGTGTTGCTCCCGACAACAAAGCTTCCCGAAGCTCCTGAGGCTTTGTGACAGAAACTTCATCTTTTATCTGTGCAATAACCCTCAAAAAAGGCCAGCAAAGGAGAGCCAGGGCTAACAGGCCCAGAAGGGCAGGTGGCCTGCGCGCCATGGCACTTGAATAATACTCAGCGACCATGGCAACCTTTCCGCAGCCCGACGCTGCCAATGCTCCACGCGCAGGTTGCCCAGCAGAAGCCCAAGCAAATTATGCGCTGTAAGGGACAGCTTCGCATGAAGCTACTATGAGAAAGCAATTAAAATGATGAACAGACCAAGGCATCTTTGGATTGCGAATTGACACGCCCCAGTCCAACGGACCAAACTGAGGCGCGTCCAGAAGCCACGACTTTTGATAGAGAATATACAAAGGGATATATTACGCGCGCATCACGTAGCTGATGTGCATTGCCTCGATAGAACCGAAGCCTGCAATCCCGCACAACAGTTCACAGCGTACGAGAAGGACGAGACAGGACGTCCATGGCACGAAACGTGCCATCCTGGACTTTAAATCCAAAATTAGAGGCCTGAAATGTGCATAAAGCACATGCGTTGTGTGCTGTACACGACATCGAAGAAAGAAGTCCCACAACGCTGGTACGGGATGCACAGCTACATCACATCCTCGCGCATCACCTGCCCCAGCTCCCAAAACCGAACCTGCGCAAGATTCAAAGGCTTTTTTTCGTTAACGCGAGCTGGTGCTGAACTGTACACGTCAATGGATGGCTGTGCATGTGTCCGTTGAGTTATGCGAGGATGTAAGGCAGCAAATCTGAAATGTTAGATCATGCGGAAGGCGCCATTGAATCCACAGCAAATCCACATGTGAAAGCAAGTAAACCTGACTTAATAAACTTCATATACATTTCACACAGCACAGCCATGAATCCCCTTATGCTAATTACCGAACCAAGTTTCACTAGCACCAAGTTCACCCAACATCCCTCGTTTGCAACCATATCTCAACTCCAGAAGCAGCACATATACATCGCACGCGCATTCTTACAAAAGCGGGACACTCATCCCAAGTCACGAAACTACGTGCCACTTTGGTCTAAGGTCTATATTTCCGATTTCGGATGAGCGCGCTGCATTCCGGTACGTCCGGGGGCCCGAGAAGTACGGCGGGACCTCCTTACTTCTGGCTGGACCTAAAGGACCCGAGGCAACTAAGGCTGCCACTGTTTTCAATAATAATCCGTCTATGGAAGCTCTGTGACATGATGTGTTGTGGTGCCATGTGATGTGTGTGATATGGGATATGTGATTGTTGGCTTAGATGCGACGGAGCGAAGCGACCGGAGCTTCTAAGGCTAGTTCTGTGGTACTGTCGTACAACTGGGTCGCAGTGGCGACTTAAACCTTACTGCTCTCCTGGTGAAGTCATTCTGCCTTCACGCAGAAGAGCATACAGCCTTGTCCAACTAGTCAGCGTGACAGGCTGTACTTGAAGCCTTACCAATTCAAGTTCCGATCTACATTTGTTCAAGTTTTTTACGGTTTCGGATATTATTTTTTCAATGTCTGCTGTGTAAGGCCCGTGGCAGCGGTGCAATTCTCGCCAAAATCGTCCAAACCATGCCGTTCAGCACCATCGGGCCAGCCAATCCACAGCCACCAGGGCCAGCTACGGGAGACAGTAACACAGAATATGTGATATGTGATGTGATGTGATGTGATGTGATGTGATGTGATGTGATGTGATGTGTGATGTGTGATGTGTGATGTGTGATGTGTGATGTGTGATGTGTGATGTGTGATGTGTGATGTGTGATATGTGATATGTGATGTGTGATGTGTGATGTGTGATGTGTGATGTGTGATGTGTGATATGTGATATGTGATATGTGATATGTGATGTGTGATATGTGATATGTGATATGTGATATGTGATATGTGATGTGTGATGTGTGATATGTGATATGTGATATGTGATGTCGACGATTGCACCTGAACTCCCACCTAGATAGGACCTTACTTCATCTATTTTCCCATATCTCCAAAGTAAGTGGACAGCGCAGAGGATCTCCTTATGATAGATTCCAAAAAAGAGACAAACCATACGCCATAAGCCAGGCCCTCTTACAACCCAGAAGCTATCGATGATGGGTCGGGATGTGTACGAGCTGTCGTACGGTACGGCACGCATCGTCAAATACAACTACACGCTAACATAAACCGCATTCCCAGCAGCACCTCGAGAGGCCTTTCACAGCTACCGACAGGGTGAGACCTAGACCTAGGAATGACGGTTGACAGTTTGAAACATCCGGCGCACACGCCGAAAAAACACAATTTCATCACCACGCGAAAACCCGACGACAGCGAATATCCGCTGGAGATATGACCCGCTGGCTCGCTTGCCGGGACGCTGCCAGGAACGAACACCTGGATGTGTGTGAGAGCCCTGCATGGGGTTGTCTGTCCCCATCCTCTTCCTTGAGAAGTGTTTGTTGAGATGGTGCGTGCTGCTTCAGGTGTGTTCAGATGTCCCTCTATACCAGGATTTATGTTTGAGCATAGCCCTAATGGGGGGAAAGGAAGGACCTCCAACGGGCGAGATGAACAGCCATTCGAGATGTACATACAGTACAGCAAAAAGTCGTAATGCAGCGCATAAAACGACCCACGGGTCAATTTGCATCACAACCCTATCTGACTATCCATTTAACTGCCTCTGCCGCTGGAAAAGTTGGGTGGCAGGAGATGGTAAGGATAGATCTCCCCCAAGCACATAACCGGCGGGGAGTAATAACTTCAAACATCACTTTCACGTCCTTCGGCCTGTTTAGAAATTAACACCACTTTCATTTCCTTCGCCGCACCTTCGGTTGTCCGTAACACCCGAAACAGAAGGGAGAACTTCTGGCTTTGAAAGCCCTTCAGCGTAAAGCCATTTCACCAGTCAACTACCGTTACTCAGGACATCTCGTGCAAGATAAAATACCTCAAAGCTAGGGCGGTTGCAACAGCAACCGTATTTACCAAACAACTTGCCGGTTTATTCAGATGCTGATCTGATTTATACAAGAACAAGTCGTTTCAACTTGTACTTGTTTGTACAATTGTTTGTACACTCCATACGGAAACAATTCAAAAAGTGAAGTTGCTGAAATTCGGAAACTATCCAAACATCCGCTCGTGGATATACAACCTTCTTCCTGGTTCCCAAACATGAACAATCGGCGCGATGCAGCGCTTCCAAACACGCTTCGAACATTTTTTTGTATAAATTCAACTGCGTACGACGTGGTTCCACAACAACAAAACAGAAGGCATGTGAAAAATAGGCAGGAAATGAAAACAGACAAAGGTAATCGGCAGAAATATAGCAGCGAGTTCGTTCGCTTCTTGGAACTCAGGCGTTCAACAGCCGCGCTTTGCGCTGTGCCAGGAACATACTGTGCAAGAGATGCTGCGAAAGGTTGGCTCGAGCCGTTTCCTATTGCCCAGTGCTGGTCCTCTCACCTTCCGCGGCCTCCCTCCTGTACTCCTTTGCCTTCCTTGCGTCATCCCTTCCCCCCCCCCTCTCTACTTTTAACAGCGTTGGGCTTCCCTTGCTTTTTCCATCCAAAGCTGCTGCTGCAGCGTGTGTGTGTGTGTGCCTCAAACGTCGCGCCGTAACGCTCTCCCCTCGCTGCAGAGTTGCGTTAACCTACACAACTGATGGGCCCCATGATGAGGACGACGCCGTGCCGGTGGCGGTGGTGGCGGTGGTGGCGGTGCCGCCGCCGCCGCCACCGTCACGCGCCAGAGCGACGGCACACGCCTCAATGACGCCACCCTTGAACTTGAACATTCGTACTGCAGGTCCGAACACGAATGGCGATTCCATTGGCATTCCAGCTGCGTCACCTGTGCAGGCCGCTGGCATCGCCGCGGCAGCCGCCGCAGCAGCCGCAGCCGCAGCCGATTCACGGCCGCGACCCATGGGTCTGTCCGCACTGCCGCCGGCTGTGTCAGCGCTAGAAAAGAACCGCGCGGGCCCAACCGTTTCTGTTACCGCCTCTTGGCATGAGCTGAGTCCCGCTGGTCCAAGATCGGCCGCAGGATCGGCCCCCCCGGAGATGTGCTTGAACAGGCCCGCAGCTGAGGCCTGACTAGGACATGTATGAAAAGTGTTGTTGTTGTTGTTGTTGTTGTTGCTCGCAGGACGAAGGGCCCTCAGGCGGCAAGCTCGCTTGCCGCGTCCAGAGGTTATGCCTCGCGACGATGATGATGACGGCGCCGCCGGCGGCGCCGACGATGGCGCCGCCGCTGCTGCTGCGGCCCTCCTCAACGCCGCCGCCGCTGGGTGGTCCTGAAGAGCAGATATATGTACGACATGTAGATGCACGACAAAGCGCGATGCAGTAATGAAGTCAATGTAACGCAATGGGGGAATGTGTTCAGGGTAGTAATGAAATCACTCGTGAGACAGTAATAAGGGTGCATTTCCAGTGCGGATTAAGGCCAGGGATTAGGGCAAGGAAGTCCTTGGTACGAGCTTATCACATAGTTTCGTTCCATAAGGGAACCAAAGGTTGAAAAGGCGAGGTAAGTTTGCCAACAACTTAGCCGTTTGAGCAGGTATCGATGGAGGACAGAGGGTTCATCCCTGGCCTTAATCCGCACTGGAAATGCACCCTTACCTGGCACCACCTTCAGGTAGTAACTTTCCGTATCTGGATTAGCGTTCACGGCGTTATATCTTACTTTAATTTCTAGGTAATTCCATATGGATGACCTCAAGTAAGCAATATCTGATTTGGTTTGCGCGAAAGGTGCTACTTCAATGTAAGGCCGCAACGGTGGCCACAACGGCGAGAAGAGTGCGCTTCTTGCCCATATTTTATACTCATACGATGCCTAATGCCCAAAGCAATTCAGAACTGGTAATATTAGCTTCGAGATCGCATCAAATTATGTGCATCGCCCTTTGTACGGCCTTAATCCCGCCCTAATCCCAGGCCTTTAGAATTGCCAGGGATTAGCCGGGGATTAGCCGGGAATAGCGGGACCTTAATCCCTGGCCTTAATCCGCACTGGAAATACACCCTAAGATGATGGAGTGAGAGACCCTTGTCGTTGAAGCAGTATCTGCTTTCGTACTCATCCGTACTCAGTACTTCCAACCGTACCCAGCCCATATCCGGATGAAATTTTAACAGTTTCATGCAGCTTGAAAACCCGTGTGTATAAAATTTCATTCTGACTTCTAAAGTCCTTTTGTCGTGAAAGTCACTTGCAATACGTGAGAACCCGTACCCTGTAAACACATACACACACGCACACACATTTATGCGTCCTTACCTCCCCAAGCACCTCCCCAGCGACCTCAATGCTGACGAGAACCTCATGCCATGTTGCGTTCGCGGCCAAGCACGCCGTACGCTTGGCGGCGCCGCCACTGTACGACATCTCGCCGTCAGCACCGAGCGCCGCCGTCAGGGGTCCCACGTCGACACCGCCTTTGAAGTGGAAGGTTGACAGTTGGAACCCGGCAACAGCCTGAAAGGGAGCGGCTTTAGGGTTTTAGGTTTTGAGCGGGATGCCTGAGATTCAAATTTGAATTCAAACACCAATCACCGGCGCATTCTTCTGCATCTTTTCCCTCTTTCTACGGTTTTCCAAAGGGCCCCGCCATGTACGTCATTCTGCCGTACAGGGGTATCCCAACTCCCCACACTCGCCATCGCCAGAGGCCGTGCAAATGTACGGCTCTTTGGATCTTCATGTCTACTGTCGTATATTATTGCCGTCCACTCACCCTTCGTAGGAGTGTACCCGCGGCATCGCTATCGCTGCTGCTGTTGACGCTGGGAGCTGTTAGTTGTAGCGGCCATGGTGGTGGTTGTGGCAGTTGTGATTGCGGTCCTGGTGGTTGCGGTGGTGGTGATGTGGACGGGTTCCCTGGAGCAGGACTGAGCTCCTCCTAAAAGGGGGGAGGAGAGGTTTGGCGGGAAGGTCAAGCGCTAGGGAAGGTCATCGAGTGAGCGGGGGAGGGGGAATAGAGGGGCGTTTCGAGACGAGGGTTTCGGTTGGAAGACGAGGAGGAGGGCGGGAGCGGATGCCGAAGACGCAAAACAATGACCTAGAAGAAAAGACAGGAGAAGGCATTTTGGAGCGGAGGGAAAGGGGGAATAAGGCAGGAAGAGGAGGGAAAAAAGGGCTCCTGGGAAAACCTAAAATAAATTAAAAAATCAAAGATGTTACAAGGATTCGATGCGCTGACCTGCAGTTCCAAAACCCAACTGATGGCTGCTGCTGGGCGAGTGAAGACGGCGTGGAAGGAGCCAGGAGGAGTCCGCAGCTGCGAAAGCAAGTGACAGTTGGGCCGACAGTTGGGGGTTGACGGTTAGAAGTATAAACCGAGAACACCGAGGCTCCACATAACAAGAATAAGGAAACGTTTCACCTCGCCCTCCACCACCCGACCGCTCCCCCATTTCTTATAGTTTGACAAAAAAAACTCTCCGATCAGTTTTTTTCCCATGAGACATAATAAAAAAACATAATAGCAAAAGAAAACATAACAAGTCCACATCCTGACACACACATGCATGATGCACATGCAAACCAAGACCTCAGCAAACCGCTCACCAAGTAACCGCCTTGCTGTCGTACGTGTGTTGCCGCAATCCGGCTCATGGCCCGATGTCCTTCCAGGGAAGCTTCCAAACCCCACCCCGCGAACTCTTCAGAGTCCTGTACGTGGGCTAGAGCCATCGCCACTCGCCCCAGAGGTGCCGCCAGCACGCCGGGAACCTTTTTAGGGTTGTAGGGTTTTAGGGTTTTTAAGATTCGGCGGGGTCGGAAAACGTGTCCCAGAGGATAACCGGGACGGGTTGATGCTTTGTGGGTGGTATAAATTCGGTTTACATAGTTTAAAAATTGTGAGAGTTTTCGGTTTGCGTTATTTAGCGGATATATACATACAGACAAACACAACCTTTTATTAATTAAAGCGACATTTGTTTGGAGAGCTTTTTCTCCCTGCGCGGCTCAGTTTCGCAAACGGATTTTACACAAATTATGTTTTGCGTTCTTCGAAGCCTTTCATTTTACAACAGGAGAACAATCTCTAATACTACACCGACCCTCACATGGTCTGGCGGACATACAGACACACCAACACACACATACTCACATACACTGACATACATACATAGATACATATCGACATACTTACAAATTGAAACCGAACATATATACGCATACAACTCAACACGTCTTCTCACCTGATCCTGTAGAGACCGCAGCCCCGGTATGTGCCCGGCGCGTGCGAGTAAATCCCGAGGAAATACGTCGTACAGCTCGGCCACCTGCGTGCCCACCTTCAACAGGTGACGCCCAGCACTCAGTACAATGTACGGCACGTCGCTGCCGCCACTTGCGCCGCCACCGCCAGCTTTGAGGGCCGTCTGTACGGCACTGGACATCAAGATTTGCCCACCGCGACCCGCGTCCGATACGGCTTTGGCTAGCTGTAGCGTACGACCGGGGTAAACTGTACGACTGCTGGCGCGGTTGTACTGCACCTCTTTAGGCGAAACACCACAGTGCATGCCCATGCGCACTCGGAGACCCCTGGGGTAATTTTAAGGTTTTAAAATGGGTTTTAGTGGGTTTTAATTTGGGTTTTAATGGGTTTTAACTTTTAAAAAACTTGGCTTTTTATCTAGAGAACTGAATAACTGAATAGGTGGCTCATACCAGCAGCGTTTCTTAAACACGTTTAAACCCGCTCGGGTGTTAAGTTTGTGACCAAGTGGTGAATGTACGGAAGGGTTTTCTCTCTTTTGTACGACCACCACCTTGAGAGAAACTCTGGTCCGGGACCTCCGACGTGAAGGCAAGTCGACGAGAGGCTGCTCTTCGGTGCTGGAGTTGGGGAAATGCAACGTACGGATGAGTTGCATCTGTGCAAAAAAATGCAACCTCCGAACAAATTGATTGCCCCGAGCATATGAACAGACAAACAGACGAACCAAGGAGCGAGCGATAGCTAGGATACGGCCGACAGAACGACCGAATGACAGACAGACGAACAGGCGAACGAGAGTTGAGACCTGTGACGGACCTGAACAACAGAATGTCGCCGCCCCCAAACCCAATGGTTGTTGTGGCGGCGGCGGCGGCGGCGGCGCACCCACTCAACCCAGGCACGGAAGGAAACATGATTGCCAGCGCTTCTCCAAGGTTCGCTGAAGTGATGGCGGTGCCGCCGCTGCCGCCGCCGGCGCCGCCGCTGGCGGTCCAGCCGTTGCCAGCCCGACTGATACGTTGCCAGCCCGACGCCGCCGACGGCCGCAAAAGACCCAGATCCTCGCCGTACATGCTACTGACGCCGCCACTGGCGGCGCCGCTGACGCCGTCACCATCGCTCTCCAGCACCGCCGCCGCGGCTGACGGTGTGTACGACGTTTCCGACAGCAGCTCCGCCGCCGCCGTCGCAGCCGTCGACGGCCTCATTTCCGTGGCTGACGTCGACGGCGTATCCGTACTAAAAAGAAAGCCAGGAGTTGTTCTCGTCGAGTAGCCCTGATCCGTGGATGCGCGGCCGCCACAGGCGGCGGCGGCGGCGGCGGCGGGGGAGCCGGCGACACCAGATCGTCCGCCAGCAAGCCCAGCGCCGCCGCTGACCGGTCTCCTGGCGAAGACGGAAACCGGCCGTCGCGTCCTTTCGCTGGTATTCCTTCGTAATGACTCTGCGGATTGGGGGCTAAATCGCTCCGTCAGCACCGGCTCCTGGCCACTGCCACTGCCGCCGCCGCCGCCGCCGCCAGCAGAACCGCCATTGTTGCCGCCATGACCGGAAATGGTGCAGCTGCGCTCGCTGCTGCTGGCGGCCCGCATTGCATTGATCAGCGCCGTCGCCATTGTTGCCGTACGCGCACGGGGTGTACGGCACACGGAAGAGTTAAAATCGTCTTTAGCTGGACGACGGTCCAGAGACTTCCTGAACGACGACATGAGAAGCGAAGAAGGCGGCGGATGCGGCGGCGGCGGCGGCGGTGAAGCGCCGTCACAGCCGTCGCCAGCGTCTCCGCCGACGCAGCCGCCAGCAGTGGCGGCCCCGACAACCTGCGCGAGCGACGACGCCAGTGCGTCACGTAACCGCGACGCACGACAGATGTACGGCAGTAGGGCGGCACAGGCTGCGGCGTCGCAGCGTACGACAACCGTGGCGGCGCTCTCATTGGTAATCAGCTGGGTCGGCCAGTCGGCCTTCAGGAGCGCCTCTTGGGCGGCTAGAGAGAAGGACAGCGCCCTGACGAGGGTACGGCAAGGTACGGCAAGGTACGGAAAGGAAATGTGAATGTATTTGGGTGTGCTTAGGGTTTAAGACCACCCTTCAGACCACCAGAGAAAGATCTGAATTCAAAATGAAGGCCGCCAATTTAAAAGGGAGAGAGGCGCAGCTCGCAGTCACGTACGCAAGGAAGCCGGCAGCCCCCGCAGACCGGCGTGCCGTAAAACCCCCTCCCTCGGTCCCAACCACCCCAACCACCGCAACCACCCCAACCACCCCAACGACCACACAAACAGACCTGTCAGGTTTCCCAAAGGCTAATATGAAGCTGTCACCCTCCGTCGCACTCTCATACCTGCAGAGGCGTGAGAGTGTTTGGGGGGGGGCCCGTCGGGTTTTAGGGTTTTAATTGGGTTTTATATATTTATTATTCGTGCAGTCGTTCCCCCGGGTGGGAAAATCCTGCAAGAGAGGTTGTCTAGAACCTTCTTCCCGCCCCCCCACGCACACACATCTCCGCGCCATCTGCAAGTCTTTACTTAAGTCTTCCAGTGTGGCAGTAGCACAGCTGCCCTTCCCCCCGCTCTTACCCTCGGTACGGCAGTAGCAGCTCCCGTACGACCCGGTGATGTACCTTCACAGCAGCGTCCATGACCTCCGCGGGTAGGCCCTCCCAGAGCACGGTGGAGTCCTAAGGCGGCGGTGAGATGTCGGAAAGTGAGAAGAAAGCAGGGGGGGTTGGCGGTTGGCGGTTGGGAGGTGGTGTTGGGGGTTGGGAGGTGGCGGTTGGGGGTTGGGGGGATGTGTGTTTTTGTTACAGCAGTGAAGAATCCAGATCCGTATGAAAGTAGATACAGGGTCAGCGAGTCAGCTGGCCGTGCATTATTACTGCGCATTACTGATCAGGCAAGATCATGGTAGCCAAGACTTCCCCCCCAACACACACACACACACACACGCGTCCCGGCTATTTAAGTGATGGCCACACAGTCTCTCGGGCACGATCAGATCCCGCACGCCACGCGCAGAGCTTCGTACACATACATATATACAGGCAGGCGGCTGGCAGAGGTTAAGGTTGGCAAGCGGCTGGCACAGGTTAAGGCCTGACTTCTGTTCCCGGCCGATCCGGTTTCAAATCCGCCTGTCGGCTCCTCGGGTGTTTGAGAGGTGTTGAATTGGGAGGTGGCATCCCATCTTGTGGACGATGTAGGACGTGATAACATCAACTTGCGAGCTGACCAGGAACTAAGTTGAGGCGCCGTTGATCTGCTAGATTTTGGTTGGATGCTGGTGGTAATGAGTTGCCGAACCCAACGAATACATTCTGAAGTGGATGGGGTGAATGGATTAGGGTGGACTGCCTCCCAAGGGAAAGGGGGCCGCTGGTGAAGCTTAACCACCCTGTAACAACATACACACATACACATACGGACATATAGACCTACAGACATACTGAACAAGGTGTAACAACGAACGAGCCAACTGACTAACCAACCAACCTGAATGTCAGTGACCAACAAAGTAGTGGTGGGACCCGCCCCAGGAGCCGCACTCAGCGCCGCCCGCGCTGCAGCCCGCAGTCGGCTGTAGCGCAAATATCCCCACATCACCGCCACCACCAGCAGTACCATCGTCACGGTCGGTACCAGCACCGAAACCAAAACTATCTTCTGCTGTTGCTGTTGCTGCCGCTGTTGGTACGGCAGTTCGTTGGCAAAGGGCGGAAGTCGGTTGAGTGAGGTAGTATTTCGGGTAGGAAAAACACAGGGAAGGAACGGATGTGCATATGAGAATATTGGGAAAAGCTTCAGGTAACAAAAGCAAAAACTTTTGAAATACCACCAGATTTCAATTCATACACGACGCAGAAAACCGGGGAAGTGAGTACGGGGGCGGGAACAGAACGGACAAAGGTCAGAAAAAGAGAAAGGGAAAGAGAAAAACATTTTTAATCTAACAAAAAATATTTTGCAAACTTATTAAGATAATATATACTTTTTCGGAACGGAAATGTTTTCATTTTTTATGTTTTGTAAAAAATCCTCCTGAATTTTTTTATTCTGCTGGGCGGCCACGTGGACAGGCCGCACCTGCCGTACACGGTACGACTGCGATTTCAGTGTACGTCTGTACGACATGGCAATCTATGGCAATGTAAGGGATTAAACACGCTCCTTGGGAAATGCCAAGACGCCAAAAGAAGCATCAGAACGATATCCAGTCAGCAAATCACCCCACCATGTCGTACAGCTTCCCAGTCGGAGGTGGGCTGTAGTCGATGGACTTGCGGTACAGCTCTAGTAGATACTCCTTTCCGCCCACCCGCCGTACGATATCCTCGGTGGTTGTAGCAGCGTACGACATGAGCTCGTCGTAGGTGTAGTTGCCCCAGACGGATCGTTGCAGCACCGTTTGTATGAGGGCACTGCATGTACGACATGGCAGGAAAAAACACACATCGTACACGCACACGTGCAGGCGCGCACATGTTTCAAACTCCTCGTGATCTCGAGTTACGCACATACATACACACACATGCTCCTGCTGCTCCAGAAAAGGAAACCACAGGTCGCCACAGCCCACCTTTTCAACGACCCTCTCCTTTTTACATAGAAATGCTCAATTTCCTTCTTCCTCTCTTACCCTTACCCTTACCCTTGCCCTCCCTCCCTCCCTCCCTCCCTCCTAGGCCGCGGCACCGTTAAACTAATCCTTAAAACAGCCGAAAACCCCTGAACCCCGAAAATTAAAACTCGAATAAAACCGAAATTGGCTCACCGAATTTAAACTTTAACCGATAAATAAAGTCCTATGAAATTAAACCCGACTCACTAGAAGTCAAACACGCCCGGAATTCGCAGCTCCTGGTAAACGGTGGCCTCCTGGACGAAGTACCTCCTGCTCTCCGAGAGGAAGGATTTAACGTCCTCGGGCTCGTACCTGCCTCGGATCGGAAGTACAAAATAGTACAAAATAAAAGGAAAGACAGAAAAAAAGAGAAAAGAAAAAAAGAGAAAAAGATGGGGGGAAAGAGGAGGCGCGGGCGACATGGAGTAGTTTCAAAAAAAAAATAGTTTTCGGGCGGATAGGATAGCCACACTATCGGTGATAAGGAGAGTAAGGGGGGGGGGAAGTAGTAGGGGGTGAGCGAAAAAGCTGTTGGGGGCAAACACGCTCGACAACACACAACAGCCAACCCTCACCCCCACATCCTCTTCTTCCCCTCTCCCCCTCTCCCCCTTCTTCTCCGCTCACCCCGCCGCCACCCAGATGCCCTCTGCGAGCTCCGAAGTCCGTAGGGGCCCTAAATCTGGGGGGAAAGTCGGGGGGTGGGGGTAGGGAGAAAGGGAAAGAGAATGGTTTTAGGGTTTTAGGTTTGAAGGCAAGAGGACCGCGTTCCCCCAATATATAAAATCTCCCGATGAAAAACACCCCTCGATGCCACCACGCAAAACCCGGTAAGCTTCCTTGGTGACTTAGGTTGCATGACGCGGGACGGTACATCTCTCATGATGATGTCGGATAGTATGCTCAAGCACCGTACATCCGTACATCCCGTACATGATGTGCAGCAAAGTTACCTGAGGTAGGGGATAACATGACTTTTTGTCGTTGCGAGGGGGACGTGAAGGTGTGCAGCAGTGCAAAGCTCGCTGCCTGCCGGGGCAGCGGCGCAAAGGCGTTGATCGTAAAGCTGACCGAGTCTAAGGGGAGGACACGGTTGACCAGGGTAACCGCCGTTCCGGATCCGTTAGCGGCCACGGTTGCGTTAGTTGCGTTCGTTGCGGTGGCGTTGGCGACGATCTTGTTGGCGGCGGTTGTGATGGGCGTGGCGTAGGGGCAGAGTTCCGGAGTGCACTGCACCAAGCGACCCGTGGGTCGGTCCAGGACCAGGGTGGATCCAGGTACGGCAGCCACGCCTTGTCGGCCGCGGAGGGGGCCGGAGACGGAGGAGCCGCGCTGCATGTGTGCGTGTGTTTTTTTGTTTGTATGTGTGTGGTGGGTTGTTGGTGGGAGGGGGGTACACCAGTAGCAAGACGCAAGTCGGTTGGCGGTTGGCGGCGGTTAGAGGTTGGGGATGAGGGGCAATGATGAATAGATGTCAAAGGTAACCTTGTAAAGATGTATTAACATGTTAATTGTCATTGTTCTTCTCGAATTGAAAAGGAGGAGACCGCAACACAGAGAGCATACATGCATACACACATGTACATATATACATACATACACGCATATGCGCCCTGGTTGGGATTTTTGCGCACCCTTCCATTTCCCCCTTGGGTACCGATATACGCAACATTATGCAACAAGGAATTTGAAAACAAGGAAAAAATGAAAACAAGGATATTGAGCGAAAACAAGGAAATGAAAAAGTAAAATAGAAGTAGAGAAATATATATCACAGGCACGCGCCCAGGACATAGAGCTCACCTTGAAAGCGAAGGAAAAGCCCCAAAGCATCAAACACCTGCCACCTGCCATCATGTCGTACACTTCCTGACATGCCGTAACGTCATCAACACTGTATCGCTTTAGGGTTGTGAAGATCCGCAACGCCTCTCGCAGGGCTTCCGTCGCGTACAGTGGCTTCAAGTCCTCGGGATCGAACCAGGAACCATGGCTTGGTCCACGAAGTTGTACCACAGACGCCAAAATGTATGCAAGTGCCCTCCGTGCATTGCCACTGGCTGGCGAGGGCATATACGACATAACAACACATAGGCATTTAGACACCGTTAAGATTCCCTGCGTTCAGCCTGCACAGCGGTTGTGTCGGTTGGGTGTCGTACAATGTACGGCTGCCTTCGAAGCGCAGGATGCATGCATCGCCGGAAACGTAATTATAGATATAGATATAGATATACATTAATCGCATAGATAGGATGATACATTACTGATTAAATAAATGTTAATCATATTGGGTAAGCGGGAAACCTGTTTGGCGGAGTAGTACTGCGGGATGCATGGGACGTAATGGTCCAGTTCGCAATACACGTTGCCTGTTCAAGCCTGCCTTCGAAAGTGCTGCCTGCTCAGGCCTGATAAATTAAAAAAAATAAGAACAGCAAGAAAAATATCAAGTACCCACCCAAATTGCTGTCAAAGCAAAACCCCAGGTCAGGCTGCCCTGGACCTAGTTTGCCGTTGCCGTGCTCCTCCGCCACAGCAATTGCCTCATCCCAGGTCTGTGGTACGGCAATGCCGTACGCATTAAACACGTCACGCCGGTACAGCAGCAGCCACGGCATCACCATAAAGGGAAGTGCCGTGTAGGATCCTGTGAAGGCGGACGATACCGCAGACCTGCGCACAAAGATAGTTTTATATTACATAACACATTTCGTACATGCCTTCCGTACATGCCTTAGCATCCTTACAGCGCCAGCCAACCGAGCATAGTGCATACATAATACAGAATACGACATAAAGCAGTACAGTGTAAACTTGTCGTACGCTGTCGTACACTGTCGTACCTCAACGCCGGCGGGATATCTGTGAACTTGTAGTGATCCTCGCGGTCGAGCAAAAATGTCAGGTCTGCAAAGGCCTCATGCGCGATGCCTTCTCCAAACACCTCCGCGCCGACCATCCAAAAATCAAACGGACCGGGAGCCTCCCCTGTCGGCCATTCCGTCGCGTTGTTCTCGTCGAAATAGTCACCGGGAGGTCGGGACTGGAAGCCAATATTAAGGCCCGTCGCGTTATTAAACTCCTCCAGGTAGGATTCGAACTCGCGCTTCGCGTTGATCTCCCAAAAAGTACCGTATGCGGTCTGTGTAAAAGCACAATGTCCACAATTTCATGACGTAAGTTATTCGCCATCAGAATGATTCGGGGGAACTGCAAACAGCAGTTAGCAGATTATGCATATTCCACACAGCATAGCCGATGGCCGCTGAGGTACGAAATCTGGTTTGTTTGTGGCCCCGCAATTGGTGCAAAGGCTGCCTGGGCGGAACTGTGCCGCAGCGCGTGCTGAGGTCGGTTTGTGTTGCGAGAGGGCCTTCGTAGCCACCGTGCGCTCTTTCATCATCGACTATAGAGGTATATAGACACAGGGTGGGTCGCGCGCCCTGGGACGAGCAGTACTAGGGGACTGTGGGGGGGGGGCCCTCACGCCCCTCTTCCCACGCCGCTAGGGGGAGAGTGCTTCGGCGGTCGCTCATTCCCGTTAAGGGTTTGGTACGGTTAGGTGCCAGCGTCAGGCCCCGATCAATCTGTAACAGAAACACACACACACAAATAAATACGTACAAAATACCACAATCCACATATACGCGCACACACGGCAGTCGGATTCCCAGCAGACACGTGCGCTGCAGATAAACGCGTTATTAGTCCGCTGCACAGCGCACCTGGTTCGCGACTTCTGTTTCGTATGGCATGCATTCCGCTGTGTTCTTGATTAGCGCGCCCCAAATTGGCAGGTCGTAATAGCCGGGATCTTTTGTCTCGCCGCATCTGCAATCGGTGTTAAAAGATGTCTATGCGCGGAAGGTGTAACCACGTAGGACACGGCTCAGCCACCCGAACAGGACCCAAATCCAACCACCAATTTTTCAGATTTTTATCAAATACATGGAGCTATTAATTTTTTGCTACGTTGCTTACGCTTGCCATAGAGCGTCCGTTTTAACGTTTTTAAAGCACTGCAGTTGCTGAGCTTCTACACTATCGTTGGCCCCATTAGCTAAATGCAAGCTAGAAATCAATATTAAGATAAAAATGGTCTGCATTTTCAGCGTTGTAATGAAACGTTAGCATGGTGTGCTTTAGCATTGTCTCAAGGGCCTACCCACCCGCAGCAAAGACCTAAATGATACCGAAATATTATGTAAAACAAATTGGAATTATAACAGGAAGAAGGTAGCATCTCGTAGCCTCGTACTTCAAACATGCCCACCTACATGCCGTAGGATTCATGGCCTTCCACGCCTATGCATACTTCTATTGTAGCCCAGTTAAGAAATGCAATCTTACATAGCCCACCTATAGTTCCAACATACTTTCTATGAAAGAGCGCCCGATGACGCCCGACAGCTCTTGGTTACTGATATCTGCCCCTCTCCGCTTGAAGAGACGTTTTTTAAATTCAGCAGAAACATAAGAACATAACATGCGCACCGACCATGCCAAACATGTGGATGTGTTGGGTGATAAGACATCACAGGCGGGCTGCCTGGGTGCTGCCTTTCCTCGTCCATTTGACCTCGTTCATTTATGTGAAATAAGATGCTATCCATTGTTGCAACAAATATCTGCGCAAACTGGAGCTCGACTAGTTTGTTTGCTCTCGGCCCGTGTCAGCCGTCATTCAGCGCGGAAATCGATCTCCTAAATACCTCAGCGCTTAGCCAAAGATGTATAGGAGAAACCCAACGGTTGCAGCGGCTTGTTGAATAAGCACCGTGCTTAACAACGGCACGACATGTCGTAGTATGGAGCCCGAATGGCTCGCAGAACGTTATAGTGTACGAAGGTTTAGGCGTGGTGCATGTGACGAGAGAGGGAAGTTTTGTGTGAGCAAGTGTGTCTCTGGGTGTGAGAGTGTGGAAATGAGAGTGACAACACTAAGCTGTTCCCCACTGTAAAACCACACACACTAAGCTTTTCGGATAGGACAACAAAATGGTTTTCCTGCCACCGTCGCACCGTACGGCACATACTATTTTGTTTATTGGATAGGAATGTGTATATGGTGTATAACAGTCCATGACAAAAAAATGTTGTGTTAACGGTACTATACACGACACCGCCGGGTTGTGACCGGAACGGGAGGACGAAAGGTCACGAACGGGCCAGCAGGATGTTTTGTACGATTGATGTGACGATGTCTGTTGCCATCAATAACCGTTCCTCTCGGCAGCAATCTGCATCGCACCAAAAAATAGCAACCGCCTGTAGCATTATAACAACGACATTGAACCAAAAAAGACAACCGTTACGAACACAACCGCATAACTGCTTCAGTTGGAAATCTTTAAGGCTGCCAGGTACGCCCGCCACCACCTAACCGGCAGCAGCGCCGCCGCCGCCTCGTCACTCATTGCCGTACTACCGGCTGGCGTTGCCGCCCGGACAGCATCCAGCGCCGCCAGACCGAGTTCGTGCAATTCACGCCGCCGGGGCCGTACGGCAAAGCCATCTGTCCCGCCAATTCCAGGGAGCCCCCTTCCGTACTCTTCCCCATCCGACGTTAACGCTGCTACGTCCACCGCATTCCCCAGCTGGCTCCCGCGGTGACGGCGGCGGCGGCGCCGTCGCTCCGCCGCCGTTACGACGCCTTCGAGATGCACGGCATGGCCGTCAAGTAACGCCCGCAGCTCCGACAGCCCCCGTAGACAGCCTAGGCGCAGCGCCAGGAGCCGAAGCATGCGGGCCATGTGACGCGGATTGTAGCTGTACGACACTTGCACGGCACGCTGGACGAGCAGCTTCTCAACACGTGCCTCTACGCGGCGGTGCCGCCGCTGATGTGAGGTCGACGGTGCTGGTGACGGTGTTGATGCCCCCTCTACCTGCAGCGGCACGAACAGCCCTACGTAACCGCCGCTACTGCCGCTACTGCTACTGCGGCCGGTGGCGCTGTGCCCTCGCATCTGCCGGGAGCCGTACTGACCGCCCTCCGTCCTCCTTCCGCCGTCACTCCGCCTAATCCATCCTTGGCCGCCGGCCCCGGGCTGCTTCTCCCGACCCGCCGCCTCAGCCTCCGGCGGCGGCGGCGGCGACGGCGGCGGCGGAACCTCACACAGCTGCGCTAGCGCCGATGCTGTCAGCTGTAGCTCCCGTGGTCCCATGGACGGCAGTAGCCGAACTGCGGCGGCGCGCAGCGCCCCCGCCGCGCCGCCAGCGGGCACCTCCCCCCACGCACTAAGCGCACACAGCACACTTGCGAGGTTGGCTGGCCGGAAATCCCAAACAAGCTGTTCAGTGCGCTGCAGCCATGGCTGTAGCCATCCTGGCCGCGGGCTGTAGCCCAGCCCCGCAAGCGACCACAGCACGATGCCCAGGCTCTGCGCTCCGAAACCAGCCATGTGTAGCTGCGCGGTGGCGGCGGCTGCCAGAGCGTCAAGCCACCTAGCACTGGGCCAACAGGCGGTGTGGAGCATTTGTAAAAGCTGCCGCTGGCTGCCGCCGCCGGCGGCGCCGCCGGCGCCGTCGGCCGCTACCATTACCGGCATCTCGCGGGTGTCAAGTAGCGTTGGTGCGCGGTGTCCCGGCGCGGCGGCTTCGGCGTGGTGCGGACGTGGTGTCGGCGGAGGCCAGGGCGTGGTTGCCGCCACGGCGGCAGAACTGGACAAGCTGGCGGCGCCGACGGCCGCCGCCGCCAGAGACGTCGCCGGCAGGTCGGGGACGCCGTACATGGCGACTGACCTCTCAAAGGTTGCTGGCGCAGATGATGCCGCCGCCGCCGCCGCAGTTGCACTGTCCGCCAGCATGCCGCCGTCGCTGCCGCCGCCACCGCCGCCGGGCCCTTGAAGGCCTCCTCCCATAGACCTTAGGTCCCTAAAAAGGCAACATAATCAGAGGGAAATAGTAAGAAATGACGTTCTCAATGCTCCCCGCCGCTTCTCAGTGCAGCTAGGTAACGGTAATAGCGGTAATGGACGAAGACGTCAGCGCCTGATGATCCTTTTCCGTACACCAAGCGCTACAGCCGCTACAGCCTCACCGGCTACAGCCCTGGAAAAAACGCCTTGCTGCAACCTTGCCTGCTGCACTATACAATTCAGCTACGTACCAGGAGAAAGATGCTGCTACTGCTGCTGCTGCTACTGCTGGCCCCCCCGATCCCGATTGAGCTGCTGCAACAGCCCTGAAACCCCTCCTTTAAAACTTCGGCAGGGCCTCACGGATCAAAGCTGCTGCGGCCCGCTGGTTAAATATTAACTAAGCCTGGTTTACCTCGCGATGTAGGAGGAGGAGGAGGAGGAGGCGTCCAAGTCAGCGCTTCCGCGAACTTTCACCCCCTTCGCCCCCTTCACCCCCTTGTCCTGTTGGGGGTTGCCTTCCAGAACCGCCAATAGAGCTCCTGCTCCTGCTCCTGGTGCCTCCTCCTCCTCCTCCTCCTCCTCCTCCTCCAAACCCTCGTCATCGTCATCGTCGTCGTCCAAGTCCAGTTCGTAGCCGATACCGCGACGGCCGCCGCCGCTGCCAGCACTGCTCTCCTCCCCGTCCTCCTTTCCACGCCCATCCAACTCCGTAACGCCTGCTGCCCCAACGGCACCACCGGGAACCACCACCAGCGATGTGGCGTCCACCCACAGCCGCGTGAGGAGAAGTACTAAGGGCGGTTGCTGAAGCAGCCATGCGGCCAGATGCCCCCGTGGTGGTGGCCCGTCGGCGGACACGACAGCCATCAGCAGGGCCGCAGCACGGTCACTGACCCATGGGTCGGCGCCGCCGTCGCCGCCACTCGCGCCGGCGTAACTTCGCGCGTCAATGACATGTGCGTCGCCGTGGACGCACGTGCCATTGGCGGAAATGGGAGAATGCCCAAGGTAAACGGGGGTAAAAGTCGCAGGGGGTGAGGTGTTTGGGGGGGTTGGGGGGTTGGAGGTCTGGACGTGATTCGTCTTGCTGATGATGGTGGCGGTGGTAGTGGCGGTAGCAGTGGCTGGCGGCGTGAGGGGTTTGTATGGTGGTACAACATCGGCTGACGCGACTACAGCTGTCGATGTTGTCCCAGCAAGATCAAGCGGAGGTGACGGTGACGGTGACGGTGACGGCGTGTACGGCGTGTACGGCGGCAGCAGCAGCTGTCGCAGCTCCGCCAAGCACCGCGGTGGCAACGGCTCACCCACGTCTTGCAACAACGGCGGCAGGTAGTCGAGAAGAGGCATAGGGGGCCCTGCCCCGAAGCCAAAGTCATGCCGTACTCCGCTGCCGTACAGTATGGAACCGAATGCCGTACTTGACGATTCTTTTGAAGGCGACGGCGGAGAGTGCGGATTGAGGTGGTCCCTTGAGGATGGGGAAGATGGGGAGGAGGAGGAAGGAAAGGCCTGTACGGTAGCCGTACTGCAGAGCTCCACGACAGTCCGAGCAACTTGGCTGACCTCTTGTGCCCAATGGCGCACCCGGCACAGCCTGACCGTGTTTCGGGTGCCGGGGTCGGAGTCGGAGTCGGTTGGTTTCCCACGGGGGTCGAAAGAGGGGAAAAAGAGGGCAAGTGGTTGGAGCCAATGTTTTACGGACGACAATGCACGGACGACTTGTTGAACTTGTTGACTTGTTGTCCGATAGTGATTTGCTTCGAGGCACTACTATACTAGCAATATGTAAAGCGCAACTTGGAGAGCACAACACCAAACACTAGCACTCAGCACCTCCTCATCCGCACCTCCGCCGTAAGCTGAACACCGCCCAGCTGAGCTGTGTTAGCTCCGAAGCCGACATCCGGTGACCGTCCAGCAGTGGCCCCGAAACCACGAGGAAACGACGCAGCCAGGCAGGGTCGGGGTCCAGTCGGAGCGGCTCCAGGGAGTGCGCCAGATTTGCCAGCGACTGGGAGCGGCGCGTGACGTGGCGTTAGTGGAAAGAAAGAAAGAGAGAGGGGGAGAGAGAGAGGGGGGGAGAGCAAGGAGTTGCGGTGTCAGGAAAGCTGTTTTTGCTGTGGTGACTGCTTTTGGCTGTTGCTGCTACTGCTGCTGCTGCTGTTGCTGCTACTGCTACTGCTACTGCTGCTGCTGCTTTTGGGCAGATGGAGGACTATCAGAGGACGACAGGCGCCTTCAGTGGAGCGGAACGAAGTACACAGATATAGACCGCATCATCGGAAGATACCGCGAAGGAACAAACTCACTCCCAGTTGCGGAGGGACAGGACAGGACAGGACAGGACAGGGGGAGAAGAAACTGTAGCCTCATTGGTTTCGCCACAAGGGACTTGGCACCCCATACATATCCCCAGGAGCCCTATATACGTGTGTGCATGTGTGCTTTGTGTGTGTGAATATGTGTGTCTGTGTGGTTCTGTTACACACCGATCCGGGCCTGATGCTGGCCATGGCCCCTAACCGTATACCCCAACCGTACCCGAAGCACTCTCCCCCTAGCGGCGTGGGAAGAGGGGCGTGAGGGCCGCCCCCCCACAGTCCCCTAGTACTGCTCGTCCCAGGGCGCGCGACCCACCCAGTGTCCATCTACCTCACTCATTTATTCGATGATGAAAGAGCGCACGGTGGCTACGAAGGCCCTCTCACAACACAAACCAACCTCAGCATGCGCTGCGGCACAGTTCCGCCCGGGCAGCCTTTGCACCAATTGCACCCGGGGTGCGGCTGCCCACCCTGGGTGGGTCCTTGCATCACCTGGGCGACTCTGTGTGTGTGTCTCTGTGCGTGTGTGTTTTGAACATCATTTTGAACAACTTTACGACACAGGATACCGGGGGCCGGGAGTGCCTCCCAGCACCCCTGTAAAACCCCTGTAAATCGTCGGGCGGGCTTCAATTTTTTATGGGGGAGTGAGTTAACTCCAAGCCTGGCCCTGAAAGCAGGGACCGTATGTCCCACGCCTCGCCGCAACACACGGCGGTCCAATACCGTGCGTCCACCTCGACAGTCCGTGGGCGGCTTTGACCGTCTTCCAGCGGCTCTCCTAAGAAGAAACACGCGATGTTCTTGACCAGTGGCTGGAGCAAGGACTCTGCTGCAACAGACCCCGCATCACGCTCTCAGAGGTTCGCCTTTGAGGAGACGGTGCCGGGCTCGGCCGCATTCCCAACCGCTACTGTCCGCAATCTGGTAGCGCTATGCAAGGACAGCTTACTAGTGGGTTTGATTTTTGCGCGGCGACGACTAGTATAGTTTTCGAATGGATAGTGAATTAAAGGGCAGATACCAAGGAAAAAGGGTGAACCCATCTGAATGTCCCGAGTACCATCCCTACTGGCGGAATGAGGCACAGAGGGACGTTCATCCAGAGCAGCGCGTCCGTGCCAGCGGCACGGCCACTACAGCCTAACGTTGCGCTCAGATACCGGGACTTCGACTCTTCGTCTGGGTTGAGGAGCTTGTCTGAGTTAAAAAACACAGACAGGTGTATGACCTATAGAACAGATCCTGTTCAAGTACGGTCATACCAATAATAATCTGCGAACTTAGTATATCCCAAAGTAATCTCGTGATGGTGGGTACAAGAAATCTCCCTTTAGGCCTTCTCACTAAGAGAGTGTCCATCATACAATTTTCGCAACTTGTCAGGACTCGCTAGCACGCGGACCGGCTATGTATCAGCGGCTGGCTTAGCATCCGCACCTGAAGTTATACCTGCACTATTCGCAAAACAAAAGCCTAACAGTCACCTATCGGTATCATATCTAAGAGAAATGTCTTGCCTTTTCACATTTATTTGACAATCCTCATGGTGCCAATGTATTTCCAATGTATTTCCACGGTCTCTGGCAACCCTGACAGCATCCAAACATGCTTTCCATAAGCATCCTTTCTCAAAACCACGTAGGTCATACAGCTATTATTTTTAAGGTATGGAGCCTTGGTCGCACCCAACTACAATAGACATCTGAATAACATTCACGACGCTCCAAGCCTTTGGCCAAGGCCTTCAACCCGTAATATATTTTGTGTACTATTAAAAGCATAGAAGCCTGTAAAAGTTTTAGCATTCCTACTATCGCATCTGATTGCCTCGTCTGAAGCTACCAAATCCACGCCTTCCCTCATACCCACGCACGTACCTGCGAATCCATCTCCGCCATCTGCCGCCGCGTAGCTGCCAGAAACCGCCGCCGCCACCTCTCAGGCGGCACGCAAGGACCCAATTGCGCCAGGCTGTATGAGAGCTGCGCCAGCTGGCGTCCATCAAACTCGGGCATTTGCCGGTAGCTGCTATACAGCAGCTCGTACACCAGCCAGGCGGCATGCTCCGGAACCGCAGCCTGCAGCTGCAACCTCGCAGCTGCCCGTACCAGCGTCGTGAGCTCCAAGGGGCCGTAGCAATGCGGCACCCGCTTCCGTCGCGCGGCTTCCGCCGCCGCGGCCGCGGGCGTGACGACGGCGGCGGCAGCAGTAGCAGTGGTCCCGCTGCTACTGCCGCCGTCACCCGGCGTCACCCAATGCCTCAAGCCAGAGGTTACAGCGCGAGCCACTGGATCCTCCACCCAAAGCTCAGGCCGGTCCCGTACCCACTCCCAAAATGAAACCGGCGGCCGCCGCGGTGGCTGTAGCTGCTGCTGCTGCTGCTGCTCTTCTTGGTTCTGTCGATCGTTATAACTTTCCGGGCCCTCCGAAGACGGTCTCTTCCCGCCGTTGCCGCTGCCGCTGCCGCCGCTGGCCGCCCGCCGCCGTGCATCAGCTGCGTCAGCCTCCTCCAAGTATCGCATGTAGGCGTCAGTGTCCCATGGGTCATTGGGGTTTCGGAGCGCTTCATCTAGACGGCCCGCCGCGACGTGCTCCTCCATGAAGCTATATGTGGAGCGCCACCGGAAGGATATTTGAAAGTATGGGGGGAATGTATTTAAGCAGCCCCTCGCAGAAATGTGTCCGGTCGTACTTCGCGAATAAACAGACCGTACAAAATGGCCCCAAAGACAGTCCCGAATTTTAACGCGCGGATGCGCGCGTGCGATTCGCAAAATGCGCGTGTACAAGTGTATATAAATTTTCTTAGAAGAAAGGCCGCGGTGCGACAGCGCGTTGCGCAGGTGGGCATGTT